ATTTATTTAATAATTTTGTTTCAGTTTTTTAATAATTTATTTTTTATTTATTAATTTTTTTTTAATTAAACGAAGTTCTGGGCTTAGGTAACTTGCCAAATTTTAAAAAGTAAGTTAGCTTATACTAAAGTAAACAAAAAGATAAAATGGGTATTCATTTAAACACGTAAATGCCCCGTAACCGCGTAAAACTCGTAAATAAACTGGTTTTCCATCCAAAATTAAGTTTACGAGGGTAACGTGGTTACGAGGCATTTACGCGTTTGGATGAATACCCCTTATATAAAAAAATAAAATTTGTTTCCGAATAAATTCTGGACTGTTGCATCTGAAGCAATGAAAATAAACAAAAATATTTTGAAGTAAAATCATATATATATATGTACATACATATATCCTTTCGGTAAAAATTTATTACAAAAATTTAATTTTGTTAATTTCTGAAGATAAAAAAATATGTATTTCGAAGCAAAATAATTGCAATAAACATAAGTAATCACATAAATTTTTTGGTGAAATTGTCGGACTACAGAAATGTAAAAGCAACAAAATTAAAAAGATATGCCTATTTTAACTTTTTCCCAAGATTTTTTAATAATTTAATATGTACATTATAGAAACTTATTTTATAAAATTAAATTTTTTATTTACAATTCAAAAATATGCTTAAAATATGAATAAAAAATTCCATTCAGGTATGTTTTCAAAATTTCTTAAGAGATTAAGGAATTAAAAAAAAAATAATTTGTTTTCAAAATTTCTTAAGAGATTAAGGAATTAAAAAAAAATAATAATTTAAAAGCAAACCAAAAACCAAATTTCTTTAGAAAAATATATATTCCATGTACATATATATCTATGTTTTTACTTTTTGCACAAGATTTTTTTAATGTTGAAGATATGTAACTTACAAAACCGAATCAAAGTAAAATGGATGATTAAAAATTTATTTATTTATTATTTTTTTAAATAAATTTTCTTATCACTTTTATTTTGGCGTATTAATATTTCTTTCAATTGTGTGATAAAGCTTTGTACCACGATTTAATTTCAAATTTAAAAAGATGTTCAAAATTAATAAAGAAAAAGGTTTTTTTTTTGAATTTATGTATTTATTTAGCGTTTAATTAATTTTTTATATACATTTGTCGTCAGCTGATTAAGTCAAGTGAAATTTTGACTAGTTGTGGCTATTTTTCTATTGTTTATTCAATGTTTATATTTTTTTTTATAAAAGTTTAGCCTTTGCCTAACCAGCGCCACATAAATCCTTATTTCGAACTTCGTATAAAAACTATGAAACTTCAATAAACTTTACTTACTTTAGTAACTACACCCAAACATTTTTTTTCTTTTTTCTTTTTATATCAAAGAATTTGATATGAAAATAATTAAATGCACATACGTTTTTTGAAAATGTTGATACGAGTAATATATTTGCATTAAAAAAGCGAACTATGAAGAAAGTAATAAAGGCATTAAAAAAAAAAATTTAAAAACAATAATTCATTTTTTTATGTTTTTGTGAACCTGATTTTACCACAGCTCACACGCATTAGAAAGACGTAGACCAAAAAGCAATTAAACTTATTAAATTAAAATACTTTGTAAAGGATATTATTTAAAATACCTATGCACACTCCAAATCCAGCACTTCTTTTAATACCAAAATTTATTTAAATTCATCTTTATGTTTTTGTTTATTTTTCAAACATGTAGCGCATTATGTGGAAGCCGAAAAACTGCGCGGAAGACCTTTAGGTGCTGTTGGCAAATATCGCGTCCGCCGCAAATTTCCACTGCCACGCACAATTTGGGATGGAGAAGAGACGAGTTACTGCTTCAAGGTGAGTAAGTGTAAGAGCACGGCTTTAGATATGCACATACATACATACGAGAAGGTGTATGTATTGCAATGTAAATGTGTACGTACAAAATTTAAATTACGTGTACGTAAGGACATGCTGAATTTTAGACACTGAAAAGTCAATGCGTTATTGTTAAAGTCAGCGTTGCATTTTTGAGTTGTTTGTTCATGTAAAGGGAGGGTAACGTTTTTTTTTTTTAATTGTTACCTGGACTACATATAAAGTTCCTTTGTGCATATGAGGATTTATACGTATTTTCGATAAAAGGGGAGAATGCTACATGAAATCATAGTAGTGTTATAACTTGTTTCAGCATAAACATACATATATATATATATATATATATATGTACATACGTTTTCCACGGACCCACATATGTACATATACCCAATACAGGCAGACAGTTAAAGTTTAAAACCTAAATCAGCAACAATTAAGTAGACTTTGAACACAATTCCTTATCAGGTGAATTGTGCGAGATAGGTGGCAGTTTGTTTGCTGTAAGGATTTTTTCCCTTTAAACGGAATGATGGCTGCAACAGAGGCTTCATTTGATTAACCAGTGACCTTAAAAATTGTTACAGACATGTGAGGAGGGTAAAACTTTTTTTTGAAGTCAAATGGAAAATGCACACCAGTCATAATTTAAAGATTTTTGATCGAACAAAGAGGAAAATCTAAGCTCGAAAATGAGTTACTAACCAGAAAGTCTAAGCTATTTTCTGCTGCCTTTATAAATGCTTATTTGCCGCGTTTTTTATTACAATTCGGTTCCTAGTAAAATAATAATTAAAGAGCCTACCCCTTCTAATGAATCCTATAGCCAACGAGTTCTCATCCAGCAGATCCAATTTTTTAAGGATGACCTACACAGAACCCCAGCAACCAACACAGTTTTACCATGTTGTTTGACAATACTGAAAGGGAATATCTCATTGCAAAGAGTCGTGTGTGCCATTTGGCTGCCTGAAAAAATTAATACTAATGCGTCCTCCAATTCCTTTTTAGGATTTATGCTGGCGCAGGTTGAGTTGGGAAGGGATTGTTTATTACAAGTTTCCTGTCCAAGCGGACATGGAGTCAGAAAACTTCCCACGGAATATCAATTTAGAACATCTTTTAAAAAAAGTTGTAGTCGAGAACTCAAGGTTGCAGATCTCTGGAGGCAGTAACTTTGGATGCTTTTCGTTGTGGCACTGCTAAGCACTGCCGAAATCGGCTTGTACGTTGGAGCCAAGCTCAATTAACATTGATCTCCTTCTTTAGGGTGAGTGAAAAGGGTCCCGCGTAAATTTTGTAGGGCCAGAGCGTAAAACTCTGTGCAGTCAAGAGGCGAGAAAGAGAGGAGAAATAGCCGTTAACACTCAAAGATAGCTTATAAGTGGTCGCTGAGGAAGCTTCGAGATATAACAGTTAAACATTAGCTGGGAAAGGACTACATCGTGTTGGACACCCTGTTAATTTATTCTTGGCTTCAAAATTTAGTTTTGGAAGCGCACTGTCACTGTCGATAGCTCGGATGATACGACGTTAACCTCCCTAGGCCCTTTGGAAGGGAGAATGCCTGAATTTCCTCTCGTAGCGTTTGTCTACTAAATATTCGCTTATCTACTAAATATTGTCTGATATGTGTTAAGAATCTATTTAAAAATGAGTAAAAACTTCAATTTTTTCATTCTCTTTTTTCAGGAGAAATCTCGATCTGTATTAAGAGACTGGTACGCACATAATCCATATCCTTCCCCGCGCGAGAAACGTGAATTAGCAGAGGCTACAGGACTGACAACCACGCAGGTGAGTTAATTAGTGTATTTTTTAGTTTTAAAATTTTAGTGTGGAGGAATTGTTTATTTTAATAAAATGTGAGTAAACAGCTTTTAATATTTAAAATAACATTTTATGGAGACAGTTTTTAAGTGATACAATACAATCTTACACCAAGTAGAAAATTTTCAACAGAAGTTACTGGTTAAATAAACTCCTTGAAAGCGATCTATTTAGTTGTAAAAAAACACTCTTGAAAACAAAAAAAATTAAAAATTTTGAAAAACAAAAATTGTGGAAGAACTAGAAAAAAAATTTAAAAAAGCAAAACTAAAATTAAGAACCTTCAGAAAAAAAAATTTAGAAAAAATTGTTTATATTAAAAAAAATTAAATAACTTTGAGAAAAAAATATTAATTTTACTTAATTTTTCACTTGAAATGTTAGCATTTTTGTGTTAGCTAAAGCTTACAAAATTTGCGTTTGTAATTATATATGCTTTTGCCGCATGAAATTTACGAAATTTGTTAAAAGAATTTTTTCGCGTTTCATTTATTTCACACAAGAAATTCTTGCAGCTCACCTTCAACTTTTTCACCAGGTTTCACATTTTCAAATTCAAAAATTTTCAATGTCATAATTGCCAAGAGCCTTTGTATGTATGAATAGTTGCTACAATTTGTTGTTTTTTATTGTTGTTAGTATGCATATGTACATTCATATACATACAAGAACAAGTATACATATGTGTGTACAATTAATCAATTTCACCAACTAATCGCTCGTCTGTTTTTCGCTTGAATGCAGCTAATTAAGTTATGCTTTGTGTAACAAACGCTAAAGGAAATTTCATTAATCACTTTTTTGACCTGATTTACCAAAAATTTAAAATCCTTAAAAAAATTTAATTTTCTAAAAATAAAAAATAAAAAAATTGTTTAGCTAAATTTTTATAATTTTTTCTATCTCTTCTTTTGTTACATGCTTACAGGTTTCCAATTGGTTTAAGAATCGCAGACAAAGAGATCGCGCCGCTGAGCATAAAGAGTAAGTAGCAAGTTAAAAAATTGAAAAAATTCTGATAAAAGATGAAAAGACAAATATAAGAAACGAACTAAAAATTTGAAAATAAAATATAAAAAATATCAAAAACCGCGCGAAATTATAGGCACATGAAAAGTTTTGATATTCTTCGAGTGCATTTAAAAAACAGCTTTAATGACAGTGCATCTGTTACAGAAAAAAATTTCGAAAAGTGTGTTAAAATATATATAAACCAAAAATATGCAACGCTTAACTGTGCGTGCTGTATTTATTAATCATCATTAATCAAAGCTGCAAAAAACTTACAAAAATGAAATTTGCTGCAATTTCACACATGAAATGCCCAAAAAATGCATTCTTTTATTAAAAAAAAAAACAGAAAATATAACGCGTCGAATGTATGAAGATGTCATT